CAACAAGATGTGGGCTACAAGATGTGGGCTACAACAAGATGTGGGCTACATGATGTGGGCTACATGATGTGGGATACAACAAGATGTGGGCTACATGATGTGGGCTACATGATGTGGGATACAACAAGATGTGGGCTACAACAAGATGTGGGCTACAAGATGTGGGCTACATGATGTGGGCTACAACAAGATGTGGGCTACAACAAGATGTGGGCTACAACAAGATGTGGGCTACAACAAGATGTGGGCTACAAGATGTGGGCTACAACAAGATGTGGGCTACAAGATGTGGGCTACATGATGTGGGCTACAACAAGATGTGGGCTAAAAGATGTGGGCTACAACAAGATGTGGGCTACAACAAGATGTGGGCTACACAAGATGTGGGCTACAAGATGTGGGCTACAACAAGATGTGGGCTACAACATGATGTGGGCTACAAGATGTGGGCTACAACAGGATGTGGGCTACAACAGGATGTGGGCTACAACATGATGTGGGCTACAACGAGATGTGGGCTACAACGAGATGTGGGCTACAAGATGTGGGCTACAACAAGATGTGGGCTACAACAAGATGTGGGCTACAACAAGATGTGGGCTACAAGATGTGGGCTACAACAAGATGTGGGCTACAAGATGTGGGCTACAAGATGTGGGCTACAACAAGATGTGTGCTACATGATGTGGGCTACAAGATGTGGGCTACAACAAGATGTGGGCTATAAGATGTGGGCTACAAGAAGATGTGGGCTACAACAAGATGTGGGCTACAACAAGATAAGGGCTACAACATGATGTGGGCTACAACAAGATGTGGGCTAAAACAAGATGTGGGCTACAACATGATGTGGGCTACATGATGTGGGCTACAAGATGTGGGCTACAACAAGATGTGGGCTATAAGATGTGGGCTACAAGAAGATGTGGGCTACAACAAGATGTGGGCTACAACAAGATGTGGGCTACAAGATGTGGGCTACAAGATGTGGGCTACAACAAGATGTGTGCTACATGATGTGGGCTACAAGATGTGGGCTACAACAAGATGTGGGCTATAAGATGTGGGCTACAAGAAGATGTGGGCTACAACAAGATGTGGGCTACAACAAGATAAGGGCTACAACATGATGTGGGCTACAACAAGATGTGGGCTAAAACAAGATGTGGGCTACAACATGATGTGGGCTACATGATGTGGGCTACAAGATGTGGGCTACAACAAGATGTGGGCTACAACAAGATATGGGCTACATGATGTGGGCTACAACAAGATGTGGGCTACAACAAGATGTGGGCTACAACAAGATGTGGGCTACATGATGTGGGCTACAACAAGATGTGGGCTACAACAAGATGTGGGCTACAACAAGATGTGGGCTACAACAAGATGTGGACTACAAGATGTGGGCTACAACAAGGGGTGGGCTACAACAAGATGTGGGCTACAACAAGATGTGGGCTACAAGATGTGGGCTACAACAAGATGTGGGCTACAACAAGATGTGGGCTACATGATGTGGGCTACAACAATATGTGGGCTACTACAAGATGTGGGCTACATGATGTGGGCTACAACAAGATGTGGGCTACAACAAGATGTGGGCTACAACAAGATGTGGGCTACAAGATGTGGGCTACAAGATGTGGGCTACAACAAGATGTGGGCTACAACAAGATGTGGGCTACAAGATGTGGGCTACAACAAGATGTGGGCTACAACATGATGTGGGCTACAACAAGATGTGGGCTACAACAAGATGTGGGCTACAACAAGATGTGGGCTACATTATGTTGGCTACAAGATGTGGGCTACAACAAGATGTGGGCTACAATAAAATGTGGGCTACAACAAGATGTGGGCTACAACAAGATGTGGGCTACAACAAGATGTGGGCTACAACAAGATGTGGGCTACAAGATGTGGGCTACAACATGTGGGCTACAACATGTGGGCTACAAGATGTGGGCTACAACAAGATGTGGGCTACAAGATGTGGGCTACAACAAAGCCACAGAAAATGTATGACCACGAACTCAAGCTACAGGCTACATATGTGATCTGGCCCTTGAGAAAGTTGTTAAACACTAGAAAAGACAAACACAAAAATATCCTAGGTCTTAATGGTGGATGAAATAATTGATTACACTCGCTAGTTAAATCTGTGACCCCGAGTCTCTAGCCCACGGGCGCCAACAATTCGCTGATGCCCACCCCCTCCCCTCAACTACCGTATTCTCTGAAAGACGAGCTCTAAAACAATAAATACCCGCGCACCTACCTCTGCCAGGGGCGGATACCGTAATTGGAGGATAAATAAATGGCGTGTCGGTGGGACGGGAAGACGTTGGGGGGAGTGAGGGGTGGGGGTGATGGGCAGACGAACAATTCTAACATGGTGTTTGAATCAGACTCGTGGATAACAACTTCTTCTGCGGATTTTGTTTTGGATACGTGGACATTTTTACGTAATAGAGGGCGATTTAATGGGGGTTTCGGTGGAGGGGGGGGGGGGGGTAGGGTGTGATTAGCTCGTGTAACTTCTTTTATTTTCTTATGAGGAGAATCGATCGAGTAATTTTGTTTCGAGTTGAGTGGGGCTATTGGGGAGAGGACCTAGCAGATACGCTGTAGGACATGTCCTATTTGAGTGGGACATTGTGGCTTAGGGCCATTAGGACAAGGAAGTAGGACATGTCCTATTTGTGTTGGACATTTAGGCGCAGGGCTATTAGGACGAGGACCTAGAAGACAACGCTGTATGACATGTCCTATTTGAGTGGGACATAGAGGCGTATGGCTATTAGGCTGATGACTAGGACTAGGACTAGGCTCTAGGACAACGTAGTGGACACCTTTAGCTGTCCGTACTGTTCCAGCACTGGTATTGTTGTTTCGCGGCTTTAGGTTAACTCTACTGCAACTTTACTTAAAGGAACATCGACATGTTGTGTTTACAGTCCATCTAAGTTTACCAGGATTCCAGCAAATTTGGGGGTGGGGGTCGAGATTTCCTTCAGCTCCCTACATTTTACCATTTATTTTTGTTTGTGACCTTCTCCTAGATAGACTTGACATTTCAGGGGGGGGGTAATTTTTTTTAGTAATATGATAAATGGGTTCTTAATAAATGATGTCATGTAGGGTCATTAATAAAAGACGAAGGCTAGATCTTTTTAAGCCAATGTGTACACTTTCGTACGATACATATTGCCATAACCACGCCCCCCCCCCCGATATATTGTCTGCATCTTTTAAAAGACTTTTTATGTTTTTATTGTTATGTCCTACCCCAAACACCTTATTGACTGTGGAATATAAATTACGTTAATTTGCTAATAAAAAAATAACTAAAAAACAATACTCTCAATATTTAATATTCAGAAATATTAGCAGCTTTCAATATGGATCTAATGATATAAAAATGCCTAGATACAATGTAGTCCATAGTTTACTTAATGCTAATAGAAAGGTCAGATTTAATAAGTTTTTAAAACTGATTTAGAATATTTTTTTTTAAATCACGAATACAACATACAACTTTTCATTTGTTATTGTTCAATAATTTTCAATAGCTCATTAATTAAATAGTAACTTACAATTTTTTGAATACATTCTACGTTTTGGAATTGAAGAATGCTGGGTGTGTTTTTTTTTAGGCATACTGATATGCAGAGTGTAACTCGCAATACCAGAGAAATAGTTCAGTTCTAAGGTAACTTCATATTTTGCTTAAATTATAAAACAGACGACATTGTCATGTGTAATGCTTCTAACAATATACATGACTCATCGGTCTCTTCGAGATAGTCGTGGAGCGATATTGATACAGTAAAGAAACAAATATTTAGAATTTTGTTGTTACAAATTATTTTGTGAGCTGTTTTTCAACGAACGCGATATCTTTGATCACAAAAATAAAAGACATTTTTTTTGTTCCTCTTTATAACTCAAGGGAGACAACTGCGTAAATTCAACACTGCAGTAAAAATCTTCAGTTGTTTCCCTTTATCTATGTGGCTCTCCAAGCTCAGAATAAATACATTTCTGAGCAATCCACACAACCAGTGTACACATTCACTAGGTCCATTAGGCTAAGTTAACTTGATAGGCAACATTCACTTAATGGGCCAAAACGCTACATTAACTTGATTGGCCACGGGGCCACATTCGCTCAAATAATAGGCCATCACCAAGTCACGTTAACTTGATCGGTCACACAGCCATAGGTGTTGTAGCCCACAAAAAGAATTTTTTCTAGTTTATTGCCATTTGGCCGCAGCTGTAAATTGCTGGCAGCAAATCATCCAGTTGGCCAGATCAATTAAACTAAATACATGTCAAAATCTAGAGATGTCACTATATAATGATCTGCTAAAGCAATGTAATAAAAATCTGTCCTTTATAACACCATCACACACTCAACAACTATAACTACATACCAAACATTTAAAAAAAGAAATAAGCATTCAATTTATTATAAAACTAAATATTTAATAAAAAGTTTGAGTAGTCATTAAGGAACAAAACAAAAAACATTTGTAAACATTGTATAAGAAACTGTATAAGTTTCATATAAAACAATGCTAATTAATGGAAGTCTGATGTTTCAACCTTTGATGAAAGGTAAAAAATATTAATTACCTCAGGGATGTTTAATTAAATTAATGAAACCAAAACAAGTGATATATAGATTTATACTGAGGTTCAGATGTACTTTCATAATTCAGCAAGCTAAATCTGAGGAATGAGCAAGTTATAAATATCATTAAAAATATATTGTAAAGCTCATAAAATGTTTAAATATTTTAAGTAAAACTATATACCCCACTTTGTTAAGTACAATAATTAAACTGCATAACATTAGTTTATGTGGTTAAAAAGCATACTGACTGAATGGATGGCAGTTACAAAAAGGAAACATTTCTTATATATCCACATTAGGGAGCACAAAATAATAAACACAGTAGACACATTGTTCACTTCGTCAATACTCAGGTAAAAATAATCTAAGTTCCCTGTACTGAACTCAGATGTTAATGGTTTAAAATCCAATTATTATTTGAAGGTTGCTATGGAATCAATACATACAGAAAGTCATCACACAATTAGGTCTCTCAAATTTAAGGGGAATAAACTACTATGACACTGGAATCAACAGAGACCGATGAAAAACATGGATTAAATAAACACAAGGACAAGAACAGGAACAATCACTGAAGAATAATATATTCAACCAGACAGCTGGTTTAAACAAAGAATATTTCTATATAACATTAACGTACATTAATTGTTTTTAATGACCCACTCAGGTTAAATGACAGTAATTAGTGATATTAAAAAATATTTTTAATCTAAATAACCACTAAAATGTATTAAAACATTGTAAAACTCTCTACTGAAAAAGAATGATTGTAAAAAGGGATTTAAATACTGCTCACATCAAAACTAAATGAAAACTCAGTGGCAAAAATTTTTTAACTTCCCAATTTAAACCATGACAGTACAAGACAACAGTGTTTCTTCCAGACTTTTTTCTCCGGGGGGGGGGGGGGGGGGCGGACACTGTTAAAAGTATATATTTTCTATATAAATTATATAAATTTCATTTCGTTCGGGGGGGGGGGGGTAGAATTTTTTCAGGGGGTCAAAGCCCCCCGAAGAGATGCCTGGAAGAAACTCTGCAAGACAATAAAACTTATTTAACTTTCTTCTTCTGCGCCTGCTGTGTCTTCTGTTGTTGCTGTGTCTTGTGTTGCTGCTGTGGTGTTGTCTGGTAGACCGAGCTGAAGAGGGTGTCCAGCAGCAGTAAGATGGGGATGAAGAAGTACGGACTGTAAAAGGACAACAGAGTTAAGCGCTCCTTCATGTTCCTTGGCCCAGCAAACTTCTCCTTGGAGAAATCGTAGAACAGGACGTGAGCGATGATGGGGATGAGGGTGGTCACTACGTGTGACCCGTACACCACGCACGGCCAGCGCAACCATTTGCACTGCTTGGCACCTGGTAATACAAAAACAATACTTTAATATCACTACAAAAGTGTTTAAAGTAATTCAAGATACAATTCACTGTATAATAAACATTAATATTTAAGTTCATTTCTCTCAAAGTTACATTTTACAACTAATATGTTCTCTAGCTAGGGCGTTGTTGAGGACTTGTTATACCAATACATACACATAGCATGAACCATAAAATACAATACTTAACATTAATCATTATCCTCATTCTCAATTAGTAAACATATTTAAAATGAACCCAACTATTTAATGGTTAGAGTTAAATTTTCCTCTTCTACAAGCGAAACACACTGCAGAAAAAAAAACTTAAGTAAAAAAACTTCCAACCTTTGAAGAATCCATAGGATGCCACAAAGAAGAAGAAGAACTGAAAGAGCTCACAGAATATGAGAGACTGGTACCAGATGGGCGGGGCCATCATCATGGGATCCCTGTACTCGCGGCAGTACCATTCTCTCAAGGCTACCAACTGAAACAGCCGTTATCACATATTACTTCATTTTTTGGTAGGATTTTCTCTAACTGAGTACAATAGTTAATTTCTGTTGTTTCACATGCAGTTTTGTTTTCCTATTGGATTGTGATTCTAATGAAAAATTGTACATACTTAAGTAAAACATTGAATCATAAAATGAACGTACAACAAAGTTTTGCATCAATGTATGTTTGCTCACACAAAAAAATTTGACCTGTGACCTTCATTAAAACAGAATTTACTTATGTTTTTTTTTAAACTATTAGTAAACATGTGCTTAATCTTACCCAATAAGTAATAAAATTTGACAATTAATTTTAATTACTGTTGTAAAGTGAGATAAACAGCTTAATAAACACGTGTTTTCTTGAGGGGGTGTGACCCAGGTGTGGCGCATCGCATTGTTGTAATTTGTAGCTTTTTATTTCTGTGTTTTATGACTATATTTGTTCACAATCAGCATGCTATGCTTTTAAAATTGATAAAGGGTAAGTATACCAAGTTACAAAACCTGAAATCTAACTAATAATTCATACTTTCAGTTTAAAAAAATAATAAAACGATCATCTATTTTGAGGTGTGACATAAAAAACAGTCAAAAACCTAGCCAAATGATTGGATTCTTGCGCTGCACACATTTTCCCGCGCCTCGTGTTCACCAAAAAAGATTATAATAAAATCGCATTATTATTTGTACGGACCATATCTCATACCGCCCATAAATTATTACCAGTTAACTGTAATATGTGTTAAATTAGTACTTTAAAGTTTATGAGGAACATAAGCTGGTTTACAAGGACAAGCAATATTTCAGAGTTATATGATTTAAAATACAAGAATACATAGAGCTATTTTCACTTACGCGCCGCTTGCGAGACAAACAAAGAAATTAGGTCAAAAGTACAACTGGGAATTCTTAAATAACAGACTGAAATAGAAACGGATAGTTCCGTTTTCTAAAAATTAACTATGGCATCGTAATCAATAGTTTTATCACTCTACCGTTTAGTGAAAGCATAAGTGGTTGCCATTTTAGTAAGCGCATGAGCCGTGAGATGCCACGACAATGGCAAACCCGGAAGCGTTGAATCGAACGGCCTACGCCTAAGTACTTTCTTAAAGTCAAAGTATACTCACACAACAATCACAACTCACTACTTTTTTCACTCAACAACACTATAGAAAAATAGACTCTAGTCTAGCACTAAATCAAATACTAATAGGGAAATAGGCACTAGATAGTCGAGATCTGGATCTAGATCTAGGAAATAGGCTAGGCCTACACTTAGTACTTAGAATCTAATTAGATATGTTAGAAATCAAGAAATCTATACTACCTGTTGAGGAAAAAACTGTGAAGGAATCAACGCCTGAAAATCTACTAACAGTGCAATAGGAATATGCGTTAAAAAGTAAACAAAAAATAAAATATCAAGAATTCTGGCCATTTTTAAAGTATCAGTTTTCTTGGTATAGAGTTTAGAATTGTAGTCCTTCGTTTCACTCTCCTGTTAGCAAAGTTTTCAAACTTATTTCTTACTTTCTGGTTTTACTTCGACTAATATTAGGAACTTAATTAGACATTTCATAATTAAATTGATTAAAATAATTAATGTAAAAGGATCTATACTCTACTGTTTATTTTTTTAAAAATATATGCTCATATTGGGCATGAATCAATGACTTTAACTTAGGGGTGCAGATTAAATTCTGTGACAATATTTAGGACATTTTTTTAGAGTAATGACGCCAAGATAGGGAAAAGGTCGGAAAGATCCCTTCCAACTTTCCAAGCAGTGTTTCTTTCAGACCCTTTTCTCCCTTGGGGCACTTTCGATTCTCGGAGGGGGCTGGCTAAAATTTCCCGGGGGGAGGGGGGTAGTTGACGCTTTTCCGTCCGGTGAAGAAAATTAATTTGATTTGCGTGTACTGCTGGCATAAAAAATACCTCTACACAGTCAGTTCAAACAAACCAGCTACTATAGTTGACATCATCGTTTTCTGATCAGACTTCGTTTCTCTAGCGTTCTTTTAAAATTCTCTTTATAGATTGACAAAACGTTTATTTCTACTACCATTTTAATGAGTATCACCGAGTTAACTTACTGTTCTAGAAAACAAAACAACATTTCATAAAATCTATCCCGAGTAATTAAAATGTACTCAACAATATCTCGCTTCTTAACTGTATGACGACCCGTTTAGTGTTTTCCTTGGTGCGTACATAACATGTGGCCAGAGGCTTAAGGCCTAGACTAAATATCATAACATTCATCAAGAGAAGCTTCACCCAGCCATCAGATCCACCGCCCCACCCACGTCCAATTTATCAAATTAGAAAGATATGGTCAGATATTCGAAATTATGTAATAGACTTTATTCACCCCTAACAAAACAATGGTGTGTCTTTTCAAATAAATAACTAATTAGTTTTAGAAATAAAAGAATTTTTATGCACAGAAGGACATCTACACGAAACTTGCTAACTACGCTAAACATTATTATTTACTACATACTTGGATATTATCTCACAGAAACGGTGTAGTTAGGTGTGTGTGTGTGTGTGTGTTGTTGGTGACGAATGTGACACCAGCTGATAAGGTTGCAGTATCACGTGATATGTCTCATCAGCCATGTTTGCTACTGAGTTAGTTAAGCTGCCAAGTATTTGTGTGGAGGTTTGAACCCTACATCACACAGAACCAGGCCTTACACGTTCCCTAGAGCAGAGTTTCTTCCAGGCATCTCTTCGGGGGAGGGGGGGGGGGCTTAGCCCCCCCGAAAAAAATTTACCGCCCCCCGAACGAAATGAAATTTATATAATTTATATAGAAAATATATACTTTTAACAGTGTCCGCCCCTCCCCCCCCCCCCCCCCCCCGAAGAAAGTCTACCGCCCCCCCCCCCCCCCCCCCCAAAAAATTTCTAGTGCCCCCTGGAGAAAAAAGTCTGGAAGAAACACTGCCCTAGAGGAGCGCCGTTCGCCAGAATTTATCATCAGCACACTGTAACTCGCTTCACAAAGTCGTCATACAATCATAATAAACTGACCCAACAACCATGAGCAATCTACACTTTTAAATTATAATAGCAGAACCTATCACTGGTAGAATAAAGTAAACAAAGAATATACATGTATAACACCCTGGTATTTATTTTGTTTTAATTAATTTGATGGGTAAAATGCATTAACAAACTCCTCTTGGCTAAGATGGCTGTGAAAGGCGTTTAAAATATCCTCACAGTGGACTTAAAGTTTATGCACTCTCATATCTCGACATGTAGTGAGGCCCATACAAATCTGATTTAATCGGAGGAAAAAAAATGTTGTAAAGTTAGAAACATGTATCTCCTAAATTAAACAACGTGTATCTATGATATAGTTAATTAAACCTAACCAGTACTTAAGCTAAACCTTTCAGTAGTAATCTAACAATGCAATATGCTTATAAATGTAGATATTCGGCCACTCTTCGAAATGAACACTAAAGTTAAGGTTGGAAGTGCATGTTAATAGTAAAACAGCTGTTTATGGTAGCATTACCAAACATTGGATTTACAAATTACATGTCCACCAACCTCACGAAATTACATGACCACCAATTACATGACCACCAATTACATGACCTCCAACATCATGAAATTACACCACAATCACAACTATGAAAGTGAACTATAGTTTAACACTCTGCTTTCAATTTTTACATACGTTCTTATTTCCTTTCATCCATTTACACAACTTACACAATTATATAACAAGGTAGGTTAATCACAAAACGTACACATATAGTATGATAGATTATTCATTTAACCTACACATATAGTATGGCAGATTAATAATAAAACGTACACATATAGTATGGCAGAGTAATCACAAAACTTACAAATATAGTATGGCAGATTAATCACAAAACTTACGCTACACATAGCATGATAGATTAATCACAAAACTTACACATATAGTATGATAGATTATTCACTTAACCTACACGCATTTAATCTTTTGATCACTACATCCACTGACCAACAGTGGACTCATCAAAACAAGGGACGCGACCACCCGCTTACTAGTAAGTGAGTAAAACATCAGTAGAGTTTCCTGACAGTTTCGTTCATAAAGTTGGCCACCTCGATGTCGATGCGCTGGTAGGTCAGGAGCAGGGCGAACAGGGCGGTGACTGTAGGGCCCCATGTCCTCATTTGGTCCGGGGTCCCGGAGATATCGCGGAGCATTGACCTCGTGATCCTGTGACGTCATTTCAAGAGTTTAATTTTTAAACGGGTGGGAGTGAAATTAGATCAACCGTAAACTTTGATGTAGGGGAAGAGGAAAGTAGGCCAGCCAATGAAATCATGGAGAAGTACAGTAGAAGATGAGGCAAGTGCTGCCGGGTTTACATGGGCGTAAATAAAGAAAGCTGCCCAAAACCGAGTCCGGTGGAGAGGTGTGGCTGTAGCCCTTTGCTCCCCAGGAGAGGTGTGGCTATAGCCCTTTGCTCCCCAGGTGAGGTGTGGTTGCAGCCCTTTGCTCCCCAGGAGAGGTGTGGCTGTAGCCCTTTGCTCCCCAGGAGAGGTGTGTCTGTAGCCCTTTGCTCCCCAGGTGAGGTGTGGTTGCAGCCCTTTGCTCCCCAGGAGAGGTGTGTCTGTAGCCCTTTGCTCCCCAGGTGAGGTGTGGTTGCAGCCCTTTGATCCCCAGGGGAGGAGTGACTGCAGCCCTTTGCTCCCCAGGGGAGGTGTGACTGCAGTCCTTTGCTCCCCATGAGAGGTGTGGCTGTAGCCCTTTGATCCCCAGGGGAGGAGTGACTGCAGCCCTTTGCTCCCCAGGGGAGGTGTGACTGCAGTCCTTTGCTCCCCATGAGAGGTGTGGCTGTAGCCCTTTGCTCCCCAGGGGAGGAGTGACTGCAGCCCTTTGCCCCCCCCCCAGGAGAGGTGTGGCTGTAGCCCTTGATCCCCAGGGGAGGAGTTACTGCAGCCCTTTGCCCCCCCCCCAGGAGAGGTGTGGCTGTAGCCCTTTGCTCCCCAGGGGCCACAAAGAAATAAGTCGTACAAGGTATTGGGAAATACAGAGCGGTTATACGGAGAGGTAGAGGGTGAGATTTATAACAGGAAGTTTCGAACTTGTTGCGCTTGAGTCCACCCAGCTTTAATTGATACCTGACTATGGTCTGTATGTGGTGTCTGAATCCACCCAGCTCAAATGGGTACCTGGCTACGGTCCGTATGTAGAGCTTGCGTCTACCCAGCTCTAATTGATACCTGACTATAGTCCGTATGTCGTGTTTGAATTCACCCAGCTCTAATAGGTACCAGACACCCTTTTCCACTATTACTGGTAACGAAGCCGAGTCAGAGGAGAGTCAATGGGATGTGCATTTTACCGCCTTCATATGCAACGGTCAAATATATAGATGCACCCTACTCCATCTGCCCCAAAGACCGCCAGCTAAAAAAAACAACAACAAAGCAACAAAAAAAAAAAACCACTCGTAAAAAAGTGTGTCCTGCGTGGTTTCGAACACGTACCTTGAGACGTATCTGGTGATGACAGTCGGGATGAGCGCTGTAGCCAGCCCGTCAAATATCAGCGAATCAAACATCGTGCTCATGGTGATGTTTCCATGGCGCTGGTCAAAGGTCGTAGGTCATGTTATGGTATTGGTAAGGTGTATGTCGTGGATAGAATATCAGTGTAGGATAAATACATCATAGGCACGCCAGGTAAGGGCAAACACACCATAGGACGCATCAGTGGCGTAGCAAGGCATAGGGGCCCAAGGCAAATAGGGGCCCTTTTTCGAAAGTTTGAGGGGGGGGGGGGGTGCAAAATCGAAAGTCTGTGGGGAGGATGCAAATCGAAAGTCAGAGGGGGGGGGTGCAAATCGAAAGTCTGAGGGGGGGGGGTGTGCAAAATCGAAAGTTTTTCCCCGGTCGCCGGGAAGGGTCGCTACGCCTCTGAGGGGCCCACTAACCCTTTTTGCATAGGGGCCCAAAAATCCTAGCTACGCCACTGGGACGCATGCATGTATGTGTCAGTAGGCTCTCACAAGACTATAGCCAAGGTACGTGTAATATTTGAGCTATGCAGAGTGTAGGTGAAGTATACAGAGGGTATTTGAGCTATACAGAGTGTAATATTTAAGCTATACAGAGTGTAATATTTAAGCTATACAGAGTGTAATATTTGAGAGGGTAGGTGAAGCTTACAATGGGTGTTTGAGCTATACAGAGTGTAATATTTGAGCTATACAGAGGGTAGGTGAAGCATACAGAGGGTAGTTGAGCTATACAGGGGGTAGTTGAGCTATACATAGGGTAGTTGAGCTGTACAGAGGGTAGTTGAGCTATACAGAGGGTAGTTGAGCTATACAGAGGGTAGTTGAGCTATACAGAGGGTAGTTGAGCTATACATAGGGTAGTTGAGCTATACAGAGGGTATTAGAGCTATACAGAGTGTAATATTTGAGCTATACAGAGGGTAGGTGAAGCATACAGAGGATATTTCAGCTATACAGAGTGTAATATTTGAGCTATAAATAGGGTAGTTGAGCTATACAGAGGGTAGTTGAGTTATATATAGAGTAGTTGAGATATACAGATATTACTGTCGGGCGGTATTGAACACACACACTCACAATAATACTCACATTCTACCCCCCCCCCCCCACACACACACTCACTCTACCCACACACACCTCCCACTCTACCCACACATACACACTCACACTGTACCCCCAGACACACTCACATCTACCCCCACACACTCCCACTCTACCCACACATACACACTCACACTGTACCCCCAGACACACTCACATCTACCCCCACACACTCACATCTACCCCCACACACTCACACTCTACCCACACATACACACTCACACTGTACCCCCAGACACACTCACATCTACCCCCACACACTCCCACTCTACCCACACATACACACTCACACTGTACCCCCAGACACACTCACATCTACCCCCACACACTCACATCTACCCCCACACACTCACACTCTACCCACACACACTCCCACTCTACCCACACATACACTCACACTGTACCCCCAGACACACTCACACTCTACCCCCACACACTCACACTCTACCCCCACACACTCACACTGTACCTACACTTCTAAAGCCCCTGTATGCGGCATGCAGTAGGATGTACCCAGCAGAAATCACACCCATCACCTCAACCGTTTCATTGGACACATTGCCTTTCAGCGCCTCGGCTACGGCAAACGACAGACCTGCAAAAACAGGATATGGACAACTGAATTTTGCATGGGAAACTGAATTTAGCTTGGAAAACTGAATTTAGCGTGGATAACTGAATTTAGCGTGGAAAACTAAATTTAGCGTGGAAAACTGAATTTAGCGTGGAAAACTGAATTTAGCGTGGAAAACTGAATTTAGCGTGGAAAACTGAATTTAGCGTGGAAAACTGAATTTAGCGTGCAACTGATGACATGGGAAACTGAATTTAGCGTGGAATTGACGAGGACACGGAAATCATACCAGATATACCAGCGATTGGAAAATTTACTGCAGAATGGGATAGATATGTACGGAGGGCAGGGAAATATATAAATTTAGTATAGCTAGAGATTGATAGATCTGCAATAGTGATATATATATATATATATATATATATATATACATATATATATATATCAATATATATATATATCAATATATATATATACATATATATATATATATATATACATATATATATATATATATATATATATATATATATATATATATATATATATATATATATATATATATATATACATTAGAAAGTGATTGGTGGGATTGCAATGGTGACAGGAAACCATACTGTTGCACAAATGTTCGATATAAGTTACAAACATTTAATACTGAAATTCATATACAGGGTCACAAACTGTAGTTAACTCTAGATACATCTACATCTAGCCTAGATCTAGATTCTATATCTGATTTAAAATCTAAATCTATTGATCTATTCTAGCATAGTAGTAAGAGTTCGATCTCGATCGTACCAATAACGCGAACATTCACGTTGTCACTGAAAGGGTCCGTCATGTTTGCAGACGTGTTGCAGGACTGAGCGACCTGGTGCCGACGCTCTGTGAGGTGCCAGTTCTGGGGCTCTAAAAAACTCGCCACTGAGTACAAGGTCTAGGCTTCCATGTTTCTTCTGTCCCGCGTCAAAACGCGTTCATTGCTGGCATCGAATTGTGCGGTTCTGGGTTTTCCCGATAAGCCGTCCGTATTTTGATGCGTACGCTAGCTTGGTACGTAAACTACAAGTATAAAAGTAGGCTAATCGCTTAAACTTTATCCTGATCTAATACCCAACACAGATTTTGTTATGCAACATTCCAATTTTTTTTAGTATCGGGCTGGATCATAAAATGTACAACAGACGAATACAAATATGACATTTTTTAAAAGTTGGTCGATGTGGACTTCGGAGATGACACAGCATTATTATGCCAAAGCTGGCAACAAATGCAAAACAAAAATGTCTAGCATTGTAAGTTTCACGACAACTTTGAAATGAAAATAAGCGTAAAATATTCAGAACAAACTTAACACCGAGGCTGTTGAGATAGATTTGAAGTGGTAACATCGCTGGATGATGTGGAAAAGTTCACATTTCTGGGATATCTTGACAAGATCAGGAAATAGAGGGAGAACCAAAACACACACGGCGTAGAGAAATTGAAAAAGACTTAAACAATTTGAAAAAAGAAAATGGAAAAAATAAACAAAGGACAGAAAACCATTGAAGGGTTTGAAAAGGCCTAGGCTCCACTGGGAATTGAAGAAGAATTAACTTCGTCTTAAAGCAATTATTAATGTTAATAAGTCTTTGTGTTTTGGTCAATTTACCTGATTAATGGAGAATTAGAAAGTTTTTTTGTAATAGAATAACTCAGTTTTCTATAGCAGATTCAGCCGAATTTTGTGCACTATACTACAATCAACAAGCAAGCATTTCATTAAGAAGACTTATTATTACTAAACAATTACTATAACAACTATTACTGTTGTTAGGTTTAAGGATTAATTAAGGACTATGTACATTTAGGCTTAATAGATTACGGAAACTATTTTTCTAGACTCAATGTCTAGAAAAAATAGAAAAAACACACCATTTCAATAATGGTGTGTTTTGATTTCTATCTTGTAGCATACTCTCGATAATAAACAGTTCATTCAAATGCAATCGAGCATTTCCGTAACGTTTGTTGTCATTGGCGTTGATCTCCCTTGGGCCGAGCGTCGTACCATCAGATATTGGGGGTCAACACAATCAAAAACAAACCCAAAAATGGCGGGTAACGACCTGTTCAGGATTATGCCGATTCGTCTGCTAGGTACGTGCCGTGATGCCAGCGTCGTTTGGAAGAATCCAGTTTTGTTTACTTATCGGTTAGCCTTACACGCGTTATGGTAAAGCTGGTAGTAGTAACGTAAAGCCGGAAGTGTTTAAGAAGTCATTACTGTAGCTTCATAAATTTATATTTTGTAATGATATCTTTTACTTTCTCGTATACGGAGTGTAGGGGGAAGTAAAGTAGAGCAAAATAATGAACCCCCGATGCTTTTTACCGTGCTGCACAGGATGTCTCAGTTTTTCAATCTTGTCTGTATGTATGTGTGTCTGTCTTCAGTACCGTTGCAGTTAGGTAGACGAAAAATTTCAATCGAAGTATTAGGTCAGTTTCCGGTAACCGGAAGTGGTACTTGATGTACTTCCGGTTTCTAAAAACCCGGTAACTTGAGCACCGTCTGTTAGGGTTACGACATTTTACGTTTAAGTATTACATTGTACGCGCTGGTGTCTTTGAAGTTTTGAACGATTTCCAGTAATCGATATTACTCTATTTCTCTATAATTCAGATTGATTGGCTGTACAGGAACTCCGAGATCGATATTTTGAAAACCCCAGTTCTTAGTAATTTGCTCTCAAAACTTTGCCGATACAATTTTTTTAATCAAATGTTATTTTTTAAATACCACATGACATAGTTCTGTTATTTTTGTGGACATTTTCTGTGATAAAATGTAAACAACCAAATTATTTTTGGCTTTTAAAAAATTTCGTAAGGTTACTGAAAACACTAAAAACATCAAATACATCCAACCTTTAATGAAGTTCAACAAATACCAGACAGTCCATATTTATTTCAATCACATTGTACATGATTTTGTAACATTACATTACACCACAATGGGCCACAATACCTCCACACACACACAGCAAACACACACACGCAAACACGCACATAACAAACACACACAATAAACACACACACACACACAGAAACACACACACACACAACACACACACCACAAAAAACACAAACACACACAAACCACGACCAAACAGCGTGTATTTCAAGAAAACGGAAATTCCTCTATATTTATACTCATGACGTCAGTATCAACTGCCCATACTCCCCTCTCTTCTCCCAACCCCTCCGATGATAATGACCCACTTTCTTACAGGCTACGGTTTCCCCGTGGGTGACGTGTTTGGTGAAAGGTATCGCGACATGAACACCAGGCCTTTCTACCTGGTCGGTGGGTGCTACATCTGGGCCCACTGCTTCCATCGGGCGTTTAGGGCGTACACCGTGAGTAGGTTTTTTTTTCACGTGACTCTGTATTCACATCTTGGTGAGTCTGTCTTCATTTCTAGGTGAGTCTGTCTTCACGTCTAGGTGAGTCTGTCGTCACAAGAAGGTGAGTCTGTCTTCACTTCTAGGTGAGTCTGTCTTCACTTCTAGGTGAGTCTGTCTTCACTTCTAGGTGAGTCTGTCTTCACTTCTAGGTGAGTCTGTCTTCACTTCTAGGTGAGTCTGTCGCCACTTCTAGGTGAGTCTGCCTTCACTTCTAGGTGAGTCTGTCTTCACTTCTAGGTGAGTCTGCCTTCACTTCTAGGTGAGTCTGTCTTCACTTCTAGGTGAGTCTGTCTTCTAGGTGAGTCTGTCTTCTAGGTGAGTCTGTCTTCTAGGTGAGTCTGTCGCCACTTCTAGGTGAGTCTGTCTTCACTTCTAGGTGAGTCTGTCTTCACTTCTAGGTGAGTCTGTCTTCACTTCTAGGTGAGTCTGTCGCCACTTCTAGGTGAGTCTGCCTTCACTTCTAGGTGAGTCTGTCTTCACTTCTAGGTGAGTCTGTCTTCACTTCTAGGTGAGTCTGTCTTCACTTCTAGGTGAGTCTGTCTTCACTTCTAGGTGAGTCTGTCTTCACTTCTAGGTGAGTCTGTCTTCACTTCTAGGTGAGTCTGTCGTCACTTCTAGGTGAGTCTGTCGCCACTTCTCGGTGAGTCTGTCTTCACTTCTAGGTGAGTCTGTCTTCACTTCTAGGTGAGTCTGTCTTCACTTCTAGGTGAGTCTGTCTTCACTTCTAGGTGAGTCTGTCGTCACAAGAAGGTGAGTCTGTCTTCACTTCTAGGTGAGTCTGTCTTCACTTCTAGGTGAGTCTGCCTTCACTTCTAGGTGAGTCTGTCTTCACTTCTAGGTGAGTCTGTCTTCACTTCTAGGTGAGTCTGCCTTCACTTCTAGGTGAGTCTGTCTTCACTTCTAGGTGAGTCATTTGAGTCTGTCTTCTAGGTGAGTCTGTCTTCACTTCTAGGTGAGTCTGTCGCCACTTCTAGGTGAGTCTGTCGTCACAAGAAGGTGAGTCTGTCTTCACTTCTAGTTGAGTCTGTCTTCACTTCTAGGTGAGTCTGTCGCCACTTCTAGGTGAGTTTGTCTTCACGTGAGTCTGTCTTCAGGTGAGTCTTTTGTCAGGTGAGTCTTTTGTCAGGTGAGTCTGTCGTCACGTGATTCTGTTGTCACGTTAGTCTGTCGTCATAAGCAGGTGAGTCTGTCTTTCTCGCATGACTCCTTTGTCTATCCTCACGCATACGTATGTCATAAGCGAGCGAGTTCATCGCACTGTCTGCACTACATGCTGAGCTAGTCTCTACATTCTTCTTAGTCAGTGTCCCGCGTATAGGCTACAAGCATATCGGGCTATTGATAAGTTAACAGTACAACAATGCATTCGAAAATTTTAAAAAATCGCACCGTTCACCCACTTTGATGTACTCTACTTCACCTGCCCGGAATGAGCTTCCTTCCTTGACCACAGATCTCAGACAACCGCTTCATCACAGCCAGCCTGCCCTCACACGAGACCAATGCTGTCATCGCTTTCTTCGACACCTTCATCTTCGAGACGCTGGCGTCGTACCTTATACCAACCTTGACCTCAACCTGTGTTTACTGGTACGTCGTGTGACCTAGGGTCAAGGTTGTTTGAATTAGTTGTTGGTATTCTTATTCGTCAGCCGCCGTTATGTTTTGGGGTATTTTTTTTTGTATTTTGTTTTATTCCTCTATGTAATGTTGTACATTTTAAAAGAGATTGTTTTTTATGGTCATTCCTACAAAATATATGACTAGCCAGGTTTGTTTTAGTACAGTTTTTACATTTCTTTCTAAAATTTTAACATACATAAACCTAGCTGACCTTTGACCTGTAACCTGGCATTTAACCTTTAGTTGACCTTTGTGCTATTAAAAGCCTCCTGCAACTTTGTATGACCTAAGACTTATTAACTCATCCTTAAAGTATTTTGGACTTTTAACTTGACCTAACCTTCAACCTCTTTTGACCTATGACCTATTCATTTCATTCCTACCTGACATGACCTGTGACCTTTACCTTTTCTTGACCTGTGACCCCAGGCTCGTGGACTACCTACAGGGTCCCAAGAGAGAGGGCGACAGCCGTGCCCGCTGGCCGCTCCCCTTCATCTTCGCCCTGTTCACCATCATCTGGTTCAGCGGCTCAGTGGACCGTGGCGTGGGCCACGTCATGAATGACCTCATCAGGCCTCTCTACTCCGCCAGAGTAGATGTTTTGAGCAGCCTCTAAAGTTCTAATATTTTAACTCTGCATAGTGTCACCCTCCCCGCCCGCCATTGTCATCGGCGAACAATATTTTCTCCACCCCGCCCCATCACGACATCAGAAATGTACACCATCTGGCTGCTAAAACAATATATGCCATCATTGAAGCAACGTCATTGTATGAATTTAAACACAGGTCTTAGTATAAGTTTAAACACGCCAATGTCGCCAGTCAACATCCGTCAATAACATGCACGTCAATGAACTAACTATAATTTAATATAAATATTTCAAGATTAAAATACGTTAATGTTAAAACAAAAGGCACCTGGTGAAATTGGTAACAATTACCTCCATCTAGTCAGTATATTCTCCACACTTGCTTCCAGAAGGTCGAGCTCGGTTTGGAAATGTCTGTTTTCTTTGTCTGTCACACAATAAAACAAGACATAAATCGACAGACTTTGTTGATGTTTGGCAAGGAAAAATGGAAGCTGTATATATATATATATATATATATATATATATATATATATATATATATATATATATATATATACAGCCGATCAAACACTATTTTCTATGAAAGACTCAATGAAATTATCAATGACAGAGTCAATGATAACTACCGCTCTCCTGTATTTTTCTCTTAAGAAACTCAATGATCAAGCGTTAGTAGTTATAAAGAGAGAGAGAGTTTATCAAAACGGAAATAATTCAACTCGTTTAATTAATAAAGCGTTAAACGTAATTATTAATCCTTAATTTCTCAGCGATTGATACAATTGTTTAGGGACAGTTAAACTATTTTTTTAAAAATATAGATCCTCGATTTTCATTTATAATTTATTAATTAAAATAAGATTTAAAAAAAAAATTAAAACAGGTCTTTGTACTATATTATTAAAAAAAACAACTAATGAATATAATAAATAATTTTGACAATTTCTCATTCTAAACCTATCGAATATCTTTTTTTAAATGCAAGGTAATCTTTTATAGAACCTACATGATTAACTTTTCTTCTAATAATTAAAAAAACTCAAAATAAAAACTATTATTCCTACAAATATTAGAGTAGTCTCCCTTGACAGTTTCTATTCGAATGTATTTTGTGTTAATTTTCGTTATGAAATACAGTTGATTTTTTAAATAAATTATATAAGAAAACAATCTATCTCTGTGTATATTTATTTAAAAAAAATATTATTACAATAATTAGAATAGGTGTTACTGGTTAAATAGCAATTATTCTCATTCTAAATCTTTGGCTATCGAGTTTCATGGGTTTTTAAATTTAAGATTATGAACACATTGGCTTGACGAAAATGATTATATACACTTAAATACATACTAAAATTTACTTTTGTTAATAAACCTACACTATTTTATGCACACATACAAAAAAGAATATTTTAGCGGCAGTTACAACGTCAAAAAAAAGGAAACTCCTTTATACTGAATAGTTCTACGTAACAACAAAAATGTAAAAATACATAGTCCTAGAGCACACTCACACATATATATACACATACGAAGATATGTGTGTGTGTAAGTAGGATGTGAGGTGTGTAGACAGACGGGGTGGAAGGAAAGCAGTTTGGCAGGAATAACGGTAGGTAGGAAAGTAGGTAGGCAGGCAGCAGCGCAGGCAGGTTAGTAGATAGGTAGGTACGTAGGCAGGGAGTTAGGTATGTAGGTAGGTGGGCCTAGGTAGGAAGGCGCCTCACTCGGTATAGTGAGCGATTATAGTAGCCCATCATATTCATAGCGTTTCGCAATTATTAAAACGAACAAAGGTACCATAGTACTCACGGGGAAACCCGGGGAGCTAAATGGAACCCTGCCAGGGCGCCACCAAATCGAATTTTTTTTCGTAGAAACCACCACAGGGGTATTAGCATTAACTTCTCAAATTTGAATGACAAACGAATGAAATCTTTGATAATGCTTAAACAAACAAACCCACTTATTCGTTTTTGGGGCGCGGGTTTGTCCACACTGCCGCCTAGACGCACCAAGGCTCACTGTATGAAAGCATTGAGTGTACGTTAATCAACCTCTGTAATAGTGAGGTAGAAAACACATTGGCGACCGCCCGTGTGTTAGAGACGCGTCCCTTGGCGCTCCAGGGAGCCACTGGTTATATTTCCGCAGGGGCGCCCCTAATTCGGTTTAATTATAAAATGTCGTGTGCCACCGTGTCCCTATTGTAGGGTGCTCTTTAAGGAGGCACTCTCTGTAGAGCCCGGGGCGCTCGCTGTCGCCAACTGCCAGGGCGCCGGCGGGCGCTCATTATTCTACTTAGTGAACATTTATAGTAGCCCATCTAAACCGTAGTGTCGCCCGAGATGGGTCTTGGCTGCTCTGGGCCACTCAACCGCCGGGGAGCTGGCGGATGAACCTGGTGTAGTTTTATCACTGAATCTCAGAGGCGTAGCACCATTCTTGGCACCTGGGGACAAATTTTCAATTTGGCGCCTCCCCCCCCCCCCCCACTCCCGCCGGAGACAAACGTTCCATTTGGTGCCCCATCCCCGTATTTTTTAAATATTTATAATGCAAAACTATAGCTAAAATTAGCTTTTAAATTTTTCCAACCATTTTGGCGCCCCTAGGGTTGGCGCCCGGGGACATATGTACCCCCGCCCCCCTCGCTGCGCCTCTGCTGAATCTAGTATTACCTATGACTGCAATTGATGAGATCGCCCCTCTGGATTCCCCTCTGGATTCTGAGCTCATAATCGTATAATTAGAAAAAATCGAACCCTCCCAGGGTGCCACACTTAAGAATTTTTTTCTTTCTCGAAACCCTTTTCACCAACTACCCAAAATTTTATGACTCTCGTACGAACAGTGTCAAATTGCATCTGGCTTTTATTTTTATGGAGAAAAATTGCATTGCTTCCTGTCAGAGACCCCAGATCGAATGGGGCGCCAAAAGGGGTAGACAATTTTTAAAAAAATCCTCATTCTTCAGTAAAATTTAAGAAAACAGATTTTTACATGGCTGATATCCTCAATTATTTTATATAGGGGAGTGTATGTAGGGATGGGCGCCTTTTTGCCAGCGTTTGAATAGGGTTGGCACATAATTGATAGTTCGCCCCGGCTGCCGGAATAGGTTGCTACGCTTCTGCTTCCTGCTAGGGTGCCGCCCTGGCGAAATCTTTCCGGGGGGGGGGGGGGGGGGGCGTGCGGACACTGTTAAAAGTATTTTTTTCTATATAAATTCCGTTTCGTTCGGGGGTGGGGGGGTCGATAGACTTTCTTCGGGGGTGGGGGGCTCTGCTTCCCCCCCCCCCCTCCGAATAGATTCCTGGAAAAAACTCTGTTCACAAAGTTTTATGGCGATCCGATGAAAAAGATGTAGTAATTCATATAGGACAAACAGATAAACATACTTTCATTTCTATAAATATAAATAGATTTATAGGGCCTACTTTAACTAGTGTCAGCATACCCGCACCCGGAAACTTAGTCACAATTTTCTTTGTTACATTTGAACCCTTTAGGTTAATCAATATTAACAAAATTGAACAAGATGCAACAAATACAGTTAACCAAGAAATTGAATAAATAAAATTCACGTTATCTTTTTATTGTTTTTAGATATAGAGTAGTAACAGACTACCTACAGGTCCTAACTCGCGACGAGGTACACATTTGTATTAAAACACACATCTAAGACATTTTCCATTTAGGTGGGTTTTGCAGTACAGTGGTTTCTTAAGTCGTGGACAAGTGATTGCGCTTATCTCTGTTGAGTAGCTATGTATTCTGTCCTATATTAGACACATTGGTAAATATCTGTCACAATATGGGCATAGAGATGATATAACGATAGCTTATCTTTGCGGACAACGCTAAACTTTGGCATCGACACCACGGCCTACAAGTTCAAATTCGGTCCTTCAGAAATGTTTGAAGTCTCTAGATTAAAACTACTTTTCTCTTTTATGTACCTACTGACCACATCACATGCATTGGTTCTGAAAGTCTAAAAACAGAGGCACAAATATATCGTCTAGACTTGTGAGGTCTACAGATTAGGTATTTTGGCAGTTATCTAAGCCCTTGCCTGTTCTGACTCAAAGCCTTATTCTTTCTCTATCGACGCCTTGCGTAACATGGGATTGGGTTTTTAAGGCGGCATAAAGCTTTATGTTGTTCCTTTTTGAGTACACTAGATTAAAAACTAACGTTTTCAGATGCCTAAAGATGTTTAACCACTAATTAATCAGAATAATGGGTCAAGATTTCAATTCTTGGTTTTGGGACACGTTAGTTGCCGGGGTTGAGCTAATGTCGATAGCATAAGGACTGTACCTTGATGCGGGCGTTTTATTTGTTGCCCATCGTAATAATTGAATGGTTGATGGGGCTTCTTCAAGGGTTTGATTTGCCGTAATGTTAATGATATCATGCATGTGCGGCTTTTCTAAGAAGAAAATGCGTTTAAACACTTTTTAGTTATGCTTTTTTTTAAATAGGCCTATATTTTACGACATCATAATCGTAATGAACAATAAAATGAATTTAAACAACTTTAGAATACACCTGTTTCGGCTAACATGAATGTTATTCTTCAAACTAGTAATGTTAAACGTGTCTTTTTCGCATTTTCGACTTATAAGCAATACAGTAAATTCCGATAACGTCCATATGCATACAAGCAATGGCGTAGGCGAGGAGGGGTTTAATAGTGATTTAATAATGATACTTTCTTAACCCTCTACTGGACATCATGTTTGGTACCTTGCCCCCGGCAACTGGGTGGATTTGGATTACACCCAAGTTTTACTTCATAGTAAATGGCTTCAGTTTTAATTATTGGAGTTGGTAGCAACATTGACACAGTTGAAGGTATTCAGAACAAGGTGGCCAGGAGAAATCACATTAATTAGTATATAATTTACCATTACTAACAATAGGCCCTACTTAATTGTTTAATGTTGCTGGATATTAAGCCTGGTAGGTATTTATGTTTATTAATTTGTACAGACACAAAAAAAGGATTCCCAAACAAAGTTTTATTTTTCAGAAATAAAGAAAATGATACAAATCAATAAAGAACAGTTTTCAAAAGCATTTGTATAAAAGTAATTATTATAAAATAAGAATATAGCATTGCATAGATAAAAATAAAATACTTGACACAAACAATATGAGGAATATTTTTTATCAGAGAAGAGAAAAATATATGATGTAGTTTGGAAATAATAATGTACAGAATGTAGCTTTTGCAGATTAAAATGAAAATTCTCATGCCTATATAATTTATTGAGTAAATGAAGCAAGACCCAAAACAATAGGCTAAATAATATGCATGGGACAGGCATTGAAAACTACAAATTGCATATAGTGAAGGTTACCCTATTTATTGGCTATATCCACAGAAAAGATGTATGGCTTTATTACCTGCTTGTAAAATTGTTAAGGAAAAAGTAAAGTATTGTTAACTTTTTATGGCAGACCAACTACGGGCTGTGTTCTGGGAACATGTCATCTGTAAGGGGCATTGTTCTCGGCACATGTTGTCATTTTTTGTGTTCTCGGCACATGTTGCCATTTTGTGTGTTCTGGGAACATGTTGCCATTTTGTGTGTTCTGGGAACATGTTGCCATTTTGTGTGTTCTGGGAACATGTTGACATTATATGGCTGTGTTCTGGGAACATGTTGACATTATGTGGCTGTGTTCTGGGAACATGTTGACATTATGTGGCTGTGTTCTGGGAACATGTTGACATTATGTGGCTGTGTTCTGGGAACATGTTGACATTATGTGGCTGTGTTCTGGGAACATGTTTGTTTCATTTTAAATATTATAATAAAACATTTTTAGAAATTCTATATTAGGAATTGTGTATATATATATAAATGTATATATTTAATAAGACAATTGGATGAATTATAATAAACAGCAAAAATGATTCAAATAAGTTTAGAAGTATTTGGCTTGCTGTCCTAACAGTGAACTGTATTGCGAGCTTGTTTCCCTAATGATAACCCATGTTTTTTGTGCGACCCTTCCAATCAAGTATCCAGCTTTTTCTTGGCCTGTATCAAAATGCTGGTCAGACTTGCTTGACTTGTGTATCACAATATGATTTTGAATGTTTTTCTGTAAATGAAATAAAGGCAAAATATTTTGATACTTTCTTTTGTGGAACTTGCAAGCAAAATAAATTACAAATTTATATTACTATCTCTAATATTTCTTTACTATAACTAATTACTTTGAAAAGATAAAGCACTGAACATGATGAATAACAAGAAACAAACATTATCAGCAAAGATTATAGATTTAAAATTGTGTTCATTCATATTGAAGATTAATGAAGTAGACTATCAATATTTACCCTCTTGATGGCTGATACTTTGATTTGATGTCTTTACTTTAAGCTTACACATCAGTCTCTGTGTGGTAAAATATGAAATAATATGCTTCAATAAAACTGTTTCAGTATATTATTTATATTAGATAAGTACATAGTTTTGAGCTCTATAACAATATGTGTTTCAATTATCATTCAAATATAATACCCTCTATGTTGTACAACTCACTGATTTATTAGAATTTTAAAAAAGACAATAATTAATAAAATATTTTGGATTAAAATCCATTATATTTATTATAACATACAATGCTATCTCTTGCTATAATAATTACTTTAAAAAATGGGTTATGCCTATAGTACAGTTACCTGAGGATGAAACTAGGCACAGTGTATAGTCCACGGAGACTGATTAATATCCCTTGTAATTGAACATCAGTTGTAGTTATGAAATCTGGATGGCCAAACACACACTCATAGTCCTGAAAAGCAATTTACACATAGATTAGCAAGAATATCTCACAAATTATTGAATTAAAGCTAACCCCTATTTAGTGCAATCCATCAAAGTAGTAGCATTTTTCGTTAAGTTGTAGACACAATACAAAGTAATGTTTGGTCTGTGATTTACATACTTTTATAAAATAGCAATCAAATTATATATATATATATATATATATATATATATATATATATATATATATATATATATATATATATATATATATATATATATATATTCATTGTAAATTTTAGCTATGTCTTGCTATTAAATTTATTTACTCGACTGATCTAAACTCACTTTATTTAAACATAATATAGTGGATAAGTATAGTGATTTTATTATTCAGCAATAAATAGCAGGCCTAAACAAAATTAAATAGTAACGTTTGCGAATGAACACATTAAATTCTATGTATTTCCATTTCTATGTCTTTCCCAACTTGATGCATATTACTAACCAAGCATTAAACTATAGTCCTAAACCTGACTCTAATTACCATTTATTGGACAACCTGAACCTTTGCGATACCATGTTATAATATATTATTTTAAAGAGCTTACCACTAATTACTAAAATCAATTGTTTTTAGTATTAACTGAGCCGCATACTATCTGCTGCTATTGTCATCACCAGAAATCCAGTATGTTGGCAAAGATTAGTCTCTAAGTTCCCTGCAACCTCTTTCCTCTCGAGTGCGGAAAACACTGAAATCATTAATCATTATTTCATTATGCCTAATAGTTTAAAGGTCGTATTAAAGTAGTACTAAATAGTACGAGTCTAAGTTACAATAGGTCTAATGATAATTATTATTGTGTATGCTTACATGCTTTAAGTTTTATGCACAATATTGGTATAATATATAGTCTATAGTATATAGCCTAAGCTATAGAGTATACAGGCCTATGAGCCTAAATATAACAGCAGCTTGAATAATGCTCATTAGCATGCATTCACTATAAACTATAAAGATAATCAAATATTTCAATTTAATTAAATTATAACTAATAGGCCTAATAGTAAATAGGCTTTTTTCTTGTGGCAACAAATTTAAAGTATAGGGCAGTACAGTTATAGTATAGGCCTACTAGATTCTATATTTAAGTATGTGGGCTTTTCATTCCAATGCACCACAATAGATACCACACATGATCAAGCTGGACCTCTGATCTAAAGATTTAATAATTGGGCCTAACAAACAGTGAAACTACAATAAAAATCATGTAAATTACTAATTTAACCTTCTTACCTCCGCTTCTCTAGATTCCTATTCTATTTCCTTCAAACTTTCTTTTTATGCAGCCGTATGATTAGATTCTAAACTATATTCTAATAAACATGAAATAACTACTAACCAGAACACTAGATCTAAATTTCTATATTCTAAGCAATATGTATTAAACCTATAGGCCTAATATTTATTTTAAATTCCTATGCGATGTGTCGTGAACTGTAGGTTTCATGTTATTTTTTTAATGGCGGAAATCAGTTTAAAATTTCGTTTCCTTCCTTTTGTTATTCTATTTATAGATTCAAACTGCTTAGAGACGGAGCAATTATCATTGAGTTAGTCGTCTGATCCACACAGGAAGTGCGGGTATATCTATTTGTTACTCAGTGATCTGATCATTGACAAAAACAGAGATAGCCATTCGCATGGGGTGATATATATATATAGAGAGAGAGAGAGAGAGAGAGAGAGAGAGAGAGAGAGAGAGAGAGAGAGAAACATACATATATATGTTATATTATATATACACACACATATATATGTATATCTATATCTATATGAATATATATATATATATATATATATATATATATATATATATATATATATATATATATATATATGTGTGTGTGTGTGTGTGTGTGTGTGTGGTTGTGTGTGTGCTTTTTAATAAAAGATGTCTAAAATAAATTAAAAGTAATTTAAAGGTAACACACAAAAAAAAAGAATGACACAATCAAAACAGAACGTGACTGATTAGAAAGAAAAATCTACTTCACCTGTTGATTAAAACCTAAAAACGGCGACGCGAGGCTTCAGGTAATGTCGCGATCTTGTCCAGTTTGGTGATAAGGAGAGTCTGTCTACTGCTGTCTTCTGTTGTCTGGTGAGGAAAGTCTGTCTTCTGTTGGCCTGGCTTGTTGGGTCGACATGTTGCTGTTGCTGTTGGTGTCGCTGTTGGCGTCGCTGCTTGCTGGTAGGTCTTGTTGAGTTTAACGCTAAATAAAACGCTGAACTAGTGAGGTTGTTAAACCTGTGCCGAATACTGGCATCAATGTCACAATGCTGAACTCATTTTAGTCTTACCAGTATCGAAATGCTCCACCCATTATAATCTTACCAGTATCGAAATACTCTACCCATTATAATCTTACCAGTATCGAAATGCCCGACCAATTATAATCTTACCAGTATCGAAATGCTCCACCCATTATAATCTTACCAGTATCGAAATACTCCACCCATTATAATCTTACAAGTATCGAAATGCTCCACCCATTATAATCTTACCAGTATCGAAATACTCCACCCATTATAATCTTACCAGTATCGAAATACTCCACTAATTATAATCTTACCAGTATCGAAATGCTCCACTAATTATAATCTTACCAGTATCGAAATGCTCCACCCATTATAATCTTACCAGTATCGAAATACTCCACCCATTATAATCTTACCAGTATCGAAATGCCCCACCCATTATAATCTTACCAGTATCGAAATGCTCCACCCATTATAACCTTACCAGTATCGAAATGCTCCACCCATTATAATCTTACCAGTATCGAAATACTCCACCCATTATAATCTTACCAGTATCGAAATGCTCCACCCATTATAATCTTACCAGTATCGAAATACTCCACCCATTATAATCTTACCAGTATCGAAATACTCCACCCATTATAATCTTACCAGTATCGAAATGCCCCACCCATTATAATCTTACCAGTATCGAAATGCTCCACCCATTATAACCTTACCAGTATCGAAATGCTCCACCCATTATAATCTTACCAGTATCGAAATACTCCACCCATTATAATCTTACCAGTATCGAAATGCTCCACCCATTATAATCTTACCAGTACTGAAATGCAGCATCTTTTAAGATCGTACCAGAATTGAAATATTGCACCTGTTATAATAGCACCTGGATTACACGTGCCATTACCTGTACATACATCACTACATACAAATACATAACACCAATACAAACTGCCTGTGCAGGCACGCAGGGTCTCCCTGCCTCCAACTTGACAGGTCGCCTGTCCAGGCAGGACTACCAGTTCCTGCAGTCCCTGCCCAGGGTCCGGTCATCGACCCAGATGCCGGGGTTCAAGTACATCTACGTGGACAGCGTGGGCGGCACGTCCTACCAGGTCAACCCGTCCATCTACCAGCTGGAGATTGCCGGCTCCCAGCGCACCTCGTATGAGGCCATTCAGGCCGCGGCCCAGTACGTCGGCAAGATGACCCGGTACATGCCCCTCAACATCTTCATCAACCTCTGCACGCAGGCCTCGGTCGGGATCTTCACGGCCGCCGAGAAGCTGACCGTCTACCCGGAGTACAGTAACCTGGCTAACGGCAATTGTGGATCTTCGTGTACAGGTCAGATATCAGACATCTCGAGAAAAAGTCCCTTTATATATATATATATATATATATATATATATATATATATATATATATATATATATATGCCTGCGCTTTATCCAGCGTGTAGCTATTCTGTTTACATCTCCTTTTCATACTTTCCTTAGTAGCAAATGTTTATCAATATATTGTGGCTATTGATTTTTACCTGTTATAGTTAGATTAGAATTGGTTAGAATAGTCTCGAACATAGGGGAGAGGCGTGTGTGAGTTAAGTTAACCCCGGGGTGCTTATGTATTGTTATCCCAAGGTCGAGTGCGGGTATAAAAGCTGGAGTGAACGATTAATAGAGGGATTTTTGGTAGCGACTAGCATAGGAGTAGGTTACGGTGATAGAGGGATAAACGTAAAGTGAATGAAACGACTTGATCTGTGAAGTATTTGTGGAGTTGAATGAAAGTAGGTCACGACACTGGACCAGACATTAAGTTGCTTGGTAATTAAATAACCTATCCATCCCTCTACTTACACCATTGTACTCACCTTGATTGGTAATTAAGTAACCTATCCATCCCTTTACCTACACCTGTTACCACCTTGATTGGTAATTAAGTAACCTATCCATCCCTTTACTTACACCACTGTAACCACCTTGATTGGTAATTAAGTAACCTATCCATCTATTTACCTACACCATTGTACTCACCTTGATTGGTAATTAAGTAACCTATCCATCTCTTTACCTACACCTGTTACCACCTTGATTGGTAATTAAGTAACCTATCCATCCCTTTACCTACACCTGTTACCACCTTGATTGGTAATTAAGTAACCTATTCTCCCTTTACCTACACCACTGTATGTCGTCTGCAGGTAGCTGCCAGCACACGTGCACGTTCGACGGCCGGAAGTACGAGGACATCGCGGGGGTGGGCGGGGCCAGGGCAGTCATCCTTGACGACAATGTGCTGTGCTCGCCCCAGGACCCCTACAACCACCAGGAGAATATCCTGGCCCACGAGTTCACCCACACCATCCAACAGTACGCCCTCACCCCCACCGACCAAGCCCACATCACCCAGGCTTACAACGCCGCCAAGCAGGCCCAGACGTGGAACCTCAACTCCTACGCCATGTCGGATGACCGTGAGTACTTCGCCGAGGCCGCGACCGTGTTTTTCGGGGTCAACATGTACAGTAGCCTCAACACGGGGGGCATGAACGTGTGTGGGGTCAGCGGCTTCTGTGGGGGTGAGATGCAGGCGCGTCAGAACCTGTGGGCCCGGGACCCCCGCCTGTACAGCATCCTGTCATACGTCTTTACCGACAACCGTCCCAGCTACTACAGTAGTCTGACTGTGTGTCCGGCATTCACAGCTGTTGGCTGACAGATGAGGACACAGTCCTGGTTGTTGGGTGACAGATAGAGTCACGACGGATCTGTCATTGGAGAAGGCTAATGCGTGTTTCTAGTTAAATAAATAAATTGACTGCATTCGGTTAACGAAACTAGCTTGTGTTTGAAGTTCTTAAAGTGATAAATAAAGCGTTAAGAAAACATGTTGTTTTTAATCTCTTTGTAACATTTTGGTTGTTGCAGTGATCACTATGTAGACCAAAGATGTTGTGCAAGTTCGTACACCAATGTTCATATTTTTAATTTTAAAAATGTGTTGTTACCCTTACATTTCGCCCACTTACCCGAAAGTCTCGAGTTCGGATCCCTGGCTAGAGTCGTTGCACGTCCTAGAGTCCACCCAGCTCTGATGGGTACCTGAATAACGTTAAGGCGGCTCTGGCATAGTGCTGACTACACTATTATTTCATATGCCGAGGTCATAGAAACAGGTTAACTCTACTTCACCTGCCCTGTGGGACACCAGGTCCGAAAGTGATATATTTTACCCTTACATTTTGAAACAAATGCATGCGCTCTTTTTTATATGCGTTTTATCTTTGTGAACGTGTATGTTTAGATATGGGTGTATGTAAAGCTATACGGGCTACTTGAGAGTCAACACCATCAGAAAGTTTAAAATCACTCAACACCATGAGAAAGTCTAAAATCACTCAACACATGAGAAAGTCTAAAATCACTCAACACACGAGAAAGTCTTAAATCACTCAACACCATGAGAAAGTCTAAAATCATTCAACACCATGAGAAAGTCTAAAATCACTCAACACATGAGAAAGTCTAAAATCACTCAAAACATGAGAAAGTCTAAAATCACTCAAAACATAAGAAGGTCTAAAATCACTCAACACCGTGAGAAAGTCTAAAATCACTCAACACATGAGAAAGTCTAAAATCATTCAACACCATGAGAAAGTCTAAAATCACTCAATACATGAGAAAGTCTAAAATCACTCAACACCGTGAGAAAGTCTAAAATCATTCGACACCATGAGAAAGTCTAAAATCATTCAACACCGTGAGAAAGTCTAAAATCATTCAACACATGAGAAAGTCTAAAATCATTCAACACATGAGAAAGTCTAAAATCACTCAATACATGAGAAAGTCTAAAATCACTCAACACCGTGTGAAAGTCTAAAATCATTCAACACCATGAGAAAGTCTAAAATCATTCAACACCATGAGAAAGTCTAAAATCACTCAACACCATGAGAAAGTCTAAAATCACTCAACACATGAGAAAGTCTAAAATCACAACACATGTGAAAGTCTAAAATAACACAATAAGAAAGTCTAAAATCATTCAACACACGAGAAAGTCTAAAAATCACTCAACACACGAGAAAGTCTAAAATCACAACACATGAGAAAGTCTAAAATCATTCAACACATGAGAAAGTCTAAAATCATTTAACACCATGAGAAAGTCTAAAATCATTCAACACCACCAGAAAGTCTAAAATCATTTAATATTTAGCAACTGAGTCGACAGGCTGAGGCTGTATACAGCGAATGTACAGGAAGTTGGTGGACAGATATAACACAAAGGATGGGTATAGGGTGGAGGTGATGATGGTGGTGGAGATGATGGTGGTGGAGGTGATGGTGGTGGAGATGATGGTGGTGGAGGTGATGGTGGTGGAGATGATGGTGGTGGAGGTGATGATGGTGGAGGTGATGGTGGTGGAGATGATGGTGGTGGAGGTGATGATGGTGGAGGTGATGGTGGTGGAGGTGATGGTGGTGAAATATGGCGGAGGTGGTGATGGTGGATCATGGTGGAGGCGATGATGGTGGAGGCGATGATGGTGGAGGTGATGAAGGTGGCACATGGTGGAGGTGACCATGGTGGTGGCACATGGTGGAAGAAATGATGGTGGATCATGGTGGAGGTGATGATGGTGGATCATGGTGGAGGTGATGATGGTGGATCATGGTGGAGGTGATGATGGTGGATCATGGTGGAGGTGATGATGGTGGATCATGGTGGAGGTGATGATGGTGGAACATGATGGATGTGATGATGGTGGATTATGGTGGAGGCGATGAAGGTAGAACATGGTGGAATCAACATTTATAACATCGGGATCATGAGGATATTGAAAACAAAATATATGACACTTCAACCTCACATACATACAAGTTTAGGGTAAACAAAATCGTTCTCTGACGTCATACATCTTTGACAGAGCATGCGCAAAGTGCACTCGCCGTACCCCGTAAGTTTTTGGAGGTAGATCAAACAGTGTCAGAGGTCAAGTTTGAAGGTCATCATTGTTCACGCGAGATATCCCTCGCAAGATGGTTTATACTTGTTTACACTTAAAATATTAAAACAAAAATTCCTAAAATTGAAATAGAAAAACAAAAATATTGAAGTCCTGGTTCAACATAAGAGCCAATAAAAACTTTTCAACTTTTAACGAAAATTGCGAAGTTTAAAAAGTTGTTTCTTTTTAAATCGTGGCCATATTAAGTAAATATTTAAGTAATTTTTGTTTTAAAATTATATGAATTTTACAAATTTTGCATGAAACATTGAAAATAATAAACAAGTAAGGGAAAAGAAAAGTACGCTACTTGTATGTACTGTATAACATTAGTTAAGGGGGAGAGAAATGTGAAAATCCGATTCTATTTTTGGACAAGCTTGGTTTAAAGTTAAAGCGCTGTAATAAGATAAACTTTGGGACTGGGTTTTAAAGAGTTACAAGAAGCAACATGTGTTTAGGGGTCAGTTCCGTGTTTAGACAAGGGGTATCTTAGGATCGCTCAGGCTTGAAGCTGGTGTGTGCTACATGGGAGCTGGAAGAATCTTTTAAGAGCTGTAATACCGGCTGTAGAAGCTGGTGATGGTTAAATGATGCCTGGATTCTGTGCGAGAAGTTTATGTTAGAACGATCCAGGATTGTTGAGATGTGAGAAATGGAATGCTAGTTATGGGAGCTGGAATTGTTGTGAGAAATGGAATGCTAGTTATGGGAGCTGGAATTGTTGTGAGAAATGGAATGCTAGTTATGGGAGCTGGAATTGTTGTGAGAAATGGAATGCTAGTTATGGGAGCTGGAATTGTTGTGAGAAATGGAATGCTAGCCGTGGAAGCTGGAATTGTGAGAAACGGAATGCTAGCCGTGGAAGCTGGAATTGTGAGAAACGGAATGCTAGCCGTGGAAGCTGGAATTGTGAGAAACGGAATGCTAGCCGTGGAAGCTGGAATTGTGAGAAACGGAATGCTAGAGGTGGGAGCTGGAATTGTTGTGTGAAATGGAATGCTAGTTATGGGAGCTGGAATTGTTGTGAGAAATGGAATGCTAGCCGTGGAAGCTGGAATTGTGAGAAACGGAATGCTAGCCGTGGAAGCTGGAATTGTGAGAAACGGAATGCTAGAGGTGGGAGCTGGAATTGTTGTGTGAAATGGAATGCTAGCCGTGGAAGCTGGAATTGTGAGAAACGGAATGCTAGCCGTGGAAGCTGGAATTGTTGAGTTGTGAGAAATGGAATGCTAGCCGTGGAAGCTGGAATTGTGAGAAACGGAATGCTAGAGGTGGGAGCTGGAATTGTTGTGAGAAATGGAATGCTAGTTGTGGAAGCTGGAATTTTTGACAAGTGGGAGCCGGAATGCGAGCAGTAGGAACGGCATGTGTTTAAGAAATCCCCGTACAGATGTGAGCTGTCATGCGTAACTGCTGGTCTCTTGGTGAGTAATCACAAAACGGTCAAGGTCGCTAGTGGCTACAAACCACGTGACTGCCAAGGTTACAGGAATGTGAAAATAAAAAATGGCGTGTACCCAACTTATAAAACAACCCATCTTTAATGAGGGTTGATATTTCATATGTAGATTCTGTTTAAAAAAAAACACAGTGGCTTTAATTATGAAAGGGGCGTGGCAAAATTTGTACTCTATGAATATTGATCTGCCTGTATATATTTGTAAAAAAAAGGTGGCAAAACTTACAGAACGCTTGTAGTAGTACTAGGGGAGCAGGTTACAAAATTAGAAAACGTCAGCGCCCTAGGGGCGGGAGGAGAGGGGGGAGCCCTTTACACAATAATTTCACCCTTCTGTCACCCCACACACTTCTTACACCCCACACCACACCACTCACATTACACAGCATCACACTACATCCACACAACACAAACATCTACAACTCTACCCACGGATGTATGTTCTATAGAAACTCCAAACATCGAACACGTATCACAGTTAAGGTGAGGGGTACTTTGAAACAGGGGCAATGTGAATGTACAATACAAGGGGAGGTAACCCCACGTAAATTAGCCTACCTAGTTACCGTTCCTAATTCCTAAGCGGAAAAACTCTATAATAGACTTGGTATTGTTCTACAGGCATCTATTGTGTACAGCCTAGCTTCTAATACACGCATGTGTACGCCGGTCCCTCTAGTGTGTACACACTGTATGTACACACACACACACAAGTATGATGGGGTAACTATGGTAACCGGGACAACAGCAGACTAACCTAAACTACTTCCAGGTAGCAAAGCAGCTGTGAAATAGTTTATAACCTCTAAACAAACGGATGGCCTCTAAACAAACGGATAGAAAGTCAAGGTTTATAGACACGTCAGCCTCGTTTGGAATTTCAAACATGGCGGCCTCGATGTAATAAAAAATCCAATTAGTACCATATATTTATACTTGGTTAAGTTTCTTTGAAGGTCAGACAAAGGTCACGGGGTGAAGGTCGAGATGACCTTGGGTCAGGGACTGTCTGTAATCAGCGGCATCGAGTGGTAGGCGGCGTTAGTGTCTTTCCTGGAGAAGCTAAACGTCCGATAGTTCGTGTCCAGGTTTCTCAACGACCCCATGTCCGGTGATGACGTTGACGGTGTGGGCGAGAGAACGGGTGAAGGCGAAGTTGCGGCCCCTGGCGGGCTGCCTCGAGATTTATCCGCCCCTGGTACGACGATTTCTTTCATGGAGGTGACTTGCACGATCGCCGGCTGGGATGGCCCCGAACCCGAAACATCTGAGCCCCTGGCGTCGTTGGCGTCAGCGTGACTCTTCCTGTCAGGCTGACGCGCGGATATCTCATTGGCCCTCTTGAACATGAGCCAGCCTTTCTTCGGCGCCGGCCTTAAATCTTCGGGCAGCGTCGTCACGGAAGGCACCAGTCTGAGATCGCCGTGATGCGAAACTACTTCCGGTGTTTCGTCCCGGCTCCGTACGGTTTCGAAAATATCCAGCGAGTCGGTGGCTCCGGCTCCGGAAGGTAACTCCGCGCCGGTTGTTGACGGCTCCGGGCTGAATACATACGACGACGCGGTCATTTTTTCCGGCTCTACCCCGGCTTCCGGTTCAACGCGGGTTTCTTCCACCCCTTCTTCTGCGCATGTCTGGTTAACCGCGTCAGCTGGATTGTGTGCGTGCTTCATCTTCCCGCCCACAAACCGGAACACGCTGAACAGCGACTTGAGACCAAACCGCCGCGGGTGCCCGTGGGTCAGGAGGTCATGGTCAGTCGGTACCGTCTCCACGACGACCTTGGCGTGCCCCGGGGCGATCCTGGTCACCAGGGACAGACGCTCCTGGTGGTCTCGAACCTTCTTCTTCCGTTTCCGGAACCGGTAGAAGTCGTAGGGTATGCAGGCTAGGAACACGGCCACCGTGGCACCGACGATGAGTACGACCAGGTAGGCTTTGGGTAGCACACCTGAGGAAGGGAAGACGTTCATTAGGTAAAGTTATACCTTTAATTGTTTGTTTGCTTAGAATTAACTACTACCAAAACTAAAAGGGAAAAAACTGAAATCGGTTCCCTAATTCAGATAACGTAATCTTCTACACACCAGCGAGTTGATGTGTTGTATTGCGTTTTAGTCATTTTTTTATTTTTACACAGGTCATTTAGTTTTGATTGGGACATTAATAGAGGCGTCGACCTTGTCACCAGCATAAATGATAATTGGTGTCTGTGTTGTGTGTGTGGGGGGGGGGGGGGGGAGTTGAAGCGAAAACATAGCTTCACCTATATTTAAAAAAGAAGAAATATCTAAATTTATTTTTGACATTTAAAACTGTGACGTAGACTGGTGCGTGGACAGTATGACGTAGGCAGAAATGTGGATAAGTGTGACTTGTATGTGCTGTGCTGGACAGACGTATGGACAAGTGTGACGTAGGCAGGCGTACGGACAAGTGTGACGTGTATGTGGTGAGCTGGACTATGGACAAGTGTGACGTAGGCAGGCGTACGGACAAGTGTGACGTGTATGTGGTGAGCTGGACTATGGACAAGTGTGACGTGTATGTGGTGAGCTGGACAGACGTATGGACAAGTGTGACGTAGGCAGGCGTACGGACAAGTGTGACGTGTATGTGGTGAGCTGGACTATGGACAAGTGTGACGTGTATGTGGTGAGCTGGACAGACGTATGGACAAGTGTGACGTGTATGTGGAGAGCTGGACTATGGACAAGTGTGACGTGTATGTGGTGAGCTGGACTATGGACAAGTGTGACGTGTATGTGGTGAGCTGGACTATGGACAAGTGTGACGTGTATGTGGTGAGCTGGACTATGGACAAGTGTGACGTGTATGTGGAGAGCTGGACTATGGACAAGTGTGACGTGTATGTGGAGAGCTGGACTATGGACAAGTGTGACGTGTATGTGGTGAGCTGGACTATGGACAAGTGTGACGTGTATGTGGTGAGCTGGACAGTCGTATGGACAAGTGCCAGAGAAAACAAACCACGACTTACTGTCCACCACACAGATTGGTTGGCTGCCTGACCACGTGCCGTTGGCGTCACATGACCTCTCCATGTCGCCCGAGTGGAGCCTGTAGCCCGAGCGGCAGGTGTACTGGGCGTACGTCTCGTTCCTGTCCGTCAGGAAGGTGGACGGGTCGGCCTCTGGGGTGGCGCATACTGGGGACAGATACATGGGTCGTTAGGTGAACTGTTGGGGGTGGGGGGGGGGGGTGGAGGGGTCGGCCTCTGGGCTGGCACATGCTGGGGACAGATACATGGGTCGTTAGGTGAACTGTTGGGGGTGGGGGGGGTGGAGGGGTCGGCTTCTGGGGTGGGGCATGCTGGGGACAGATACATGGGTCGTTAGGTGAACTGTTGGGGGTGGGGGAAGGAGTCAGTCACAGGGGTCGGTGGAGGGGTCGGCCTCTGGACTGGCGCATGCTGGGGAGAGATACATTTTTGTTTACGTGAACTGTTGGTGATAGGTGTAGCTATGGGGTTACATAAAGGCAGAATTTCTACTCCTGCCGACATTGAATTTTTATTTAACATATATGTCAGAGTTTTAATTTTTTTAAAGCGTCTCTAAAATAGATTTTTCTATCATTTTAACTAAAATTGAAAAAGAATACAACTTCAACAAGCGAGCCTAAATACATCTATTTTTATTTTTTATTTCTAGTGTATTAAATTTGTATTTTCTCTTGTATACCACACAATTGCACTAAAATATTGATAGATTCTTAAACATTGGAAAACTTGGGGGGAAAGGAGGTAATCGCGTAAAATATATAGATATATTTAAATTATTTGTTACTTCCCTTGTTAAATAAAAAAAAACGCACAATAAAATAAGTTATGATCACCACTGAACATAGACAACAAACATTCCACAAAATGAAACTCGTCACTCCACCCCTGGCCACAGAGCACCCACCAGCAGGACATAACGGAGACGCCCCTGCAGCCGACAACACGCATCTTCCCACGCCTTATCTCAAACCTTCCCTCCTGTAAGCGTCAAGTCCCTTTCTAACAAGAGAAATTCAACTCAATCGCAAGATAAGGGGAGGTCATCTAGCAACTCTTCAACACTAAGTCCTGCTCGTGAAGTAAACAAGATGGCGAGGTCTGCTCTTGTCTGGCTTTGTGTGGCCTTCATGTTGGTGGCCGTCACGATGGCCGTGTTTCGTGAGTACTGGTTTATATGTGTACTGGTTTATATGTGTACTGGTTTATATGTGTACTGGTTTATATGTGTACTGGTTTATTATGTGTACTGGTTTATATGTGTACTGGTTTATATGTGTTCTGGTTTATATGTGTACTGGTTTATATGTGTACTGGCCGTGTGTCGTGAGTACTGGTTTATATGTGTACTGGTTTATATGTGTACTGGTTTATATGTGTACTGGTTTATATGTGTACTGGTTTATATGTGTTCTGGTTTATATGTGTACTGGTTTATATGTGTACTGGTTTATATGTGTACTGGTTTATATGTGTACTGGTTTATATGTGTCCTGGTTTATATGTGTACTGGTTTATATGTGTACTGGTTTATATGTGTACTGGTTAATATGTGTCCTGGTTTATATGTGTACTGGTTTATATGTGTACTGGTTTATATGTGTACTGGTTTATATGTGTACTGGTTTATATGTGTACTGGTTAATATGTGTCCTGGTTTATATGTGTACTGGTTTATATGTGTACTGGTTTATATGTGTACTGGTTTATATGTGTACTGGTTTATATGTGTACTGGCCGTGTGTCGTGAGTACTGGTTTATATGTGTACTGGTTTATATGTGTACTGGTTTATATGTGTACTGGTTTATATGTGTACTGGCCGTGTTTAGTGAGTACTGGGTTATATGTGTACTGGTTTATATGTGTACTGGTTTATATGTGTACTGGTTTATATGTGTACTGGCCGTGTGTCGTGAGTACTGGTTTATATGTGTACTGGTTTATATGTGTACTGGTTTATATGTGTACTGGTTTATATGTGTACTGGCCGTGTTTAGTGAGTACTGGGTTATATGTGTACTGGTTTATATGTGTACTGGTTTATATGTGTACTGGTTTATATGTGTACTGGCCGTGTGTCGTGAGTACTGGTTTATATGTACGAGTTGGGCTTAAAGGTTCACGTCAATCGCGGTAACCGCAGCTTAAAGATTCACATAGATTTTACTTTATACAGAGACACACACACATACACAAACTCATACACACACATATACACATAAACTCACACACACAAACACATACCGACATACACAAACACACATATATACACAATCTCAAACACACACACATACACAAACTCAAACACACATACATACACAAACTCCAACACTTAGACATATACGAAAACTTTTCGACATACACAAACACACACACACCAATATACACACACTCACGCACGTGATTTTAATAGGACGTATAAAAAAACTCATGAACCTATTGTTTAAATACGACAGTTAATTTTATTTCAGTAGTTTTCATTATATTAGCGTAAGCTATGACACAAAACTTAAATCGCAATGTTTATCCTGCCTTAAAACTAACCCTAATCCTGTCCTTAATCCTGCTCCGATCAGTAGTCCTAACCCTAGCACAACTCAGTATAGAAAGGACGGAAGTCTCTAAAGCCCCTCTCAACATTAGCGTTTCATGTTCCCTAACAGCCCCTCGGTCAACTCGTTGGCAAACCGTTAAACGTATTCACTCAGTCAGCTCTAATGGGTACCTGGCATATGTTGGGGACAATATTTTACTAGCCACTGACTACAAAACCCCTTAAAGTACCGCATGGCCAATAATACAGAGAGAGAGGGAGAGAGAGAGAAAGAGAGAGAGAGAGAGAGAGGAGGGAGAGAGAGGGAGAGACAGAGAGAAAGAGAGAGAGAGGGGGAGAGGGAGAGGGAGAGAGAGAGATCAACCACCTGTATATAGCCACGCATTTTTGAAAACAACAGCAGCGATACCCGAGGCAAAGCGTGTAAACAAACATGATAGACCTTGTGAAAATTTAATAACAGAGGGGAGGCCACTCAAGCAGACTGAGGAGTTGGGGGAGAGAACTGCTGGGGTTTTGGTATCACCGTGGGTTCCTTGGTTTTGTGGGTTGGGTGGAGGGGTACGACAAAATAAGTGTTATAGATTAAGATTTATAAACATGACTAGTGTACTTTTAAGCGTCTTAGCCCTAAATATTGGTAAAATGTATTTTCTGTTAGGTGTTTAGCTGCTGAGTAATACTGTATCCTTGACACTGATCCGTCTATAATTAACTATTAAACTGAAGCACTGCAATTGATAACTTGCTCCTAGTTGTTCCCCTAAAGTTTCTTACACCACGTTTACGCTTGCGATAACTATAATATTGTACATGTCTAGAATTAAATAAATAACGAGTTAATGTTATATTTAAATATATTTAGACATGTCGCAAATGTAAACGCGGTGTTACGATACGTTATAGTTTTTCACACATTTTGAAATATCGATAGCCTAGCTAGTGATGGACAACAGAGAAACAAAGAAAGTACACATCTACTCATAAGTGCCCTATTAAGTCAAGAATGCAAAACACATTGCTTTCATTATTATACTATCACAACACGGTACTGTCCTTGTTATCTACTGTGAGGTGTTTTGTGTGTGAGCGGGTGTTGCTAGTGATGTGTGGTTTCACGAGAAAGGTAGTTTGAAAGCTTGCCTCACAGATAAAACTGTATTTGGGAAGTAGTATGTGTTTAGCCCGTAGCCCTCCTGGTCACAAGAAATTGTAATGTGTGTTTAGCCCATAGCCCACCTATAATCAAATAACATAGAGTGTTTAGCCCAAATCGATATATACAAAAGTGCTTCCCACCGTACTATGTATCAAAACATTACACATTTTTCTCATCTTTGTATATATTTTTTTACTGTGACATCACTCCATTTAGTCACATGACAGAAATGTCACATATCTGACATCTGACGCTATCACATTGTATCTGACACCTGACAATGTCACATATCATCTGACACCTAACTGTCAAATATTAACTAGCATTTTATTGACGTTTTATTTTTACCCATTTGCACAGAACCTAAGGAAGACCAATTCGTCCAATACAAAAATATTTGTTGCCATTCCTTTCCCAGCAACTTCCGGTTAAGTTAATCAAAAGATCTAAAATAATTACTTCCCCTTGGGTTAAAACAAAGCTGTACACAGTCATTATAAACGAATGTAAGTCAGGGGACGTCAGCGGGCACCACCAGACGTTTATCTAAGTCCTCAGAGTTGTCGGTCCTAATTGTTTCGTCTATTTCCGGAACCGTCAAAAAAATTTCCACCGCTGGTAATAGGATTGTCCGATGTCGTATTTTTTTGGTCGATCGTAGTTCTATGTTCAGCCAGACTAAAGTAGTCTGATTAAATGTCTGTCTGTGGTGGACTTTTGTCTGTAAGCTTTGATTAATAGAGCGGTTCTATACTGGGTAATGAGGGAACAGCTGAGGATTATGTCAATCGATTGGAAGCGTCGCTGTTACGGCAGGAATGAAGATGTCTTCGTGAATTTGCTTTTCTTCACTGCTTGAGAAATGTTATTTAAAAGGTTCTGTCTCATTTATAATATATATACTGGATGATGGTCAGCGGTGACGTCAGATATACTGGATGATGGTCAGTGCTGATGTCAGATGTACTGGATGATGGTCAGTGTTGACGTCAGATGTACTGGATGATGGTCAGTGATGACGTCAGATGTACTGGATGAAATCAATGCTGACGTCAGATGTACTGGATGATGGACAGTGATGACGTCAGATGTACTGGATGATGGTCAGTGATGACGTCAGATGTACTGGATGAAATCAATGCTGACGTCAGATGTACTGGATGATGGACAGTGATGACGTCAGATGTACTGGATGATGGTCAGTGATGACGTCAGATGTACTGGATGAAATCAATGCTGACGTCAGATGTACTGGATGATGGACAGTGATGACGTCAGATGTACTGGATGATGATCAGTGATGACGTCAGATGTACTGGATGAAATCAATGCTAACGTCAGATGTACTGGATGATGGACAGTGATGACGTCAGATGTACTGGATGATGGTCAGTGCTGAAGTCAAATGTACTGGATGAAATCAATGCTGACGTCAAATGCAGAAGATGATGATCAGAGTTGAAGTCAGATACAGAAGACGATAACAGCAGTATCCTAATTGGATCCAATCAATGTTAATTAGCTTGGGCGGAGTAAATGACTGGAATTAACAGTCCGTGAAATGGCATATCGTTCTATGAATACTTAGTGAAGCCTCACCACCCGATAGTGTTGCGTATGTTAGTAACCTCGGTAGGGATTTGAACCCGATCAAAACGACAGGCACGTTGTTAGATTCCAGGAAACAAACGTCTGGTTCTTTATTAGTTTCGCTTACGTGTTTATCGCAAAGCCACGTAATGATGTCAAGATATGTTTTAGAACTAAATGTAAACAATCATTATTCGAGCTTGAAGTAACTTTTTTTTCTAAACTTTATTTCTGGGGTGCCGTGAATCAAAGCTAGTAATGTATTTATTGTTACACAAATCTTTAAAAAAAAAAATTGCAGCCTTCTGTAAAGTTCCAGCAAATATTTTAAAACCAGCTGTTCCCGTCGAATCTCATGTGTGTCACGTGGTTCTGATTTCAGCCCTGGAGAAGTTTCTAGACTGTTCCAAGGACATCCGTGTGGACTGTGTCAACGCTGACTGTGACGGGCCGGATGGAACCATGTGGAAAGTCGGCTGTCCAATGACGTGCAACGCGTGCCAGCCCTCGTAGTGCAGTCGTCAGTTGCTGCACGGTGCAGTGGTCAATCGCTACACGGTGCAGTGGTATACAGAAGGTGGAAAGACGTTTTATTTGACACTACATACAACTGTATATAAACTTGTTGTGCCAAGGGATTTAACTGCAGTTCAAGAAAACAAAATTCGTCAACAGCTTCTAAATCACGGGAACATTTTATTTGTTTGCGAGAGTAATGAAGTTAGGACTTAATGTGTATTTCCGGTAGTTGCAACGTTTCGGACAATATTATTTTTGAGGAAAACTACAGTTATGAATTTAATAAAGCCTTGGTAGGATGAATACGTTGCGTTCCTTTATTTCTTACAAGCTTTAAAATAGGCTGTCATAAATTACTTCTTGCAAAGTTGAAACGTGTAAACTATTAGTATTTCAAACAGTGTTTTGAAAACCTATTGTGTAAAATAGTTCTTGCAATCTTTTGAAACCTTTTCGTATGAAGTATTGTTCTTGCAATGCTTATCTTCTAGCTATCACTGTGATTCGTTTCATACGGAATAAAGTACTTCAATTTTAAATTGTTCCCTGCAGCGCTAAATGGGTTGTTAAAAATATATTTCAATGCTCAAATTTCAAATTTCAACACAAAGCAAGATCGTCGAGATTACAAAGACGACCTTACACAATTCTGTACGAATACCAAAAAAATTGCTTGAATCAAAACAGTGTGTATGCAGTTTTACAACAAGAACATAAAAAGTGCTTACACATGCATTGAATGAATATTAAAATAAATCGGTATGTTTCGATCTTGCTAATCTAGCGCGTAAAAATACAAATGGTCGATATCACCTTTAACTAAAATCCGCGACAATTGATTTTTGAAATTGTTGTTTTTGTTTATGGCCAAATGCTTTGCTTATATCTTATTGTCATATTTTACTCAACGCGACATCTTAAAATGTAAATTTCACATGAAAACGTCTTTACATGACATCTTCTACACATCACAACATCTTTACATGACATCTTTTATACATCACAACATCTATACAATATATATTTACATATAAAAACTGACTAAATCATTACACGAACAACATCTGTAAACGACTACTGTGTGACAGCTTTGTTCGCGGATTAAGAGAATAACAAATATAACTAAAGATAATAGAAAAACATTATCCAACATGAGTCATTGACTCTTGCAAAATATTTACACCAAATTAGCTTCTACGATGCTTATTTGTTATAGCTGTAAAGGGAGTTAAGCTAAAAACAAAAGATTCAACGAAAGAAATATCAGTTTGTTTACTGAAAAACGTACTAAAATAACAGAGGCAATCACATAATAGATGTGTATTGTGATATAAGATATTTTTTGTTATCATTTATTGTTGCTTAAAAAGTTGTGGTTCTTGTTTTGTATGAGTTATCGTTATTGGTTTGTACGAGTTCCCGTTCTTGATTTGCATCGTTCTTGTTTTATTAGGGTAATTATTCCAAGTTCATCGTTGGCTTTTTCTGTAGTTAGCTTCTCTGTAAACAAATTGATCGTAGTCTGGTGGGAGGGGGAGATGGGGGTGGGGTAGGGAGACTGGGTGGTACCAGGGAGGGGGGATGTTGGAATATTGGATTCTCTTGTTGCTGGGTTTGAAGGGCGTCGTCTCGCGATAGTCTGATAATTGTCTTTCTGTGTCTCCTCAAATGGAAGAGTCTCATCACCTGTTGGCGTGGGGTGGCGTCTGGAGGGGAGGTAAATCAATTCATTAACTCCACAGTGATGTCTTAGTTCTCTCCCCTTACCGTGGTTAACTTATCATTTTGTATTGATTGTATATTGATTTAGCTGAATTTGATACCTGTTTTTAACACTTGTGATGATATTTTTATGATGAAAAAAACATTAAAAGACATAGGCAGTGGCGTAGCTTCCGTAAAGCTAGCGTAAGCAAGGCATAGGGGCCCAAGGCAAATAGGGGCCCTTTTTCGAAAGTTTGAGGGGGGTGCAAATCGAAAGTTTGTCCCCGGTCGCCGGGAAGGGTCGCTACGCCTCTGAGGGGCCCACTAACACTTTTTGCATAGGGGCCCAAACATCCTAGCTACGCCACTGGACATAGGCTGAACATGTGATATTGATTTACTTGACTAAGCTCATGCCTCAGGATAAACAAAAATCTTCAGGTCGGTTTTGTCGATATTGTACCTTAGACTTGAATCAACACACCCACAATGGATGACCTGTATTTTTTACATAACTTAAACTTTGGTCACGTGACAATGTTAATTTATTGTAAATTATCTACCTTTCTTTGACCAAATAATTTTTTGGAAGGGAGGGGATAATACCGGAGAAGAGGAAATTAACATGCCTTAAATTGTGTCACTGGGTGAAGACCCCCCCCCCCCCTTCACTCTTGTAACGCCACTGCATGTGTTGACGTGTTGATGTATTAACCTGTGTGTCTGCCTGTACCCCCAGCCCTGCCCATCTCCCATCTGCTGGACTGCAGCACTGACCTGAGGGTGGACTGTGGCTCCATGAACCCTGACGACTGTGACCAGCCCTTCTACCAGCTCAGCTGCCCCAAGACCTGCGCCGCCTGCCCGACCTAATTAACGTGAGATCACGTGACGAGAACTAACCAATAAACACTGAAGTGTTAACCATAAAACTTTTTTTGTGCTTTTTTTTTCTTTTGTTATAACCACACAATGTCAAGTACATTTTGACCAGAGTTATGTAGAAAAATAAACTATTTAAAGAACTATCAGTGACTACCATTTGTGCTAATGTTTGTTTCATTGACGTGTGTATATTTTTTTTTAAATCAACTGTAGTAAATGAATTCGAACTCTAAAATCGATAACTTCCATCCCACGCTACTCTTGCCTGGAATGAAATTTGCCTGAATTATCTCCCTCATTACACAGGGGCAGTGAATCATGTTTGATCTCAAGCTTTCTGCATGGCTGTTTACCCCCCCCCCCCCCCCCCCCCCACGTTCATTAACTTAAAGCCGATGTACATTTCATAAAAACTCATTAACCGGAAGAAACCGGAATTAACATACGTAGACCGGAAGAAGCCGGATGAAACAAGTGTAGACCTTCCATTTTTAATTTAGATTCATTTATTTTTTTGGTTGCACTTGCTGAAAAAATATGGCTATTTCATACACTAAAAAAAAACCTCAATACATAGAAACCAACAAGGCAACAAGAGTGTACTTTACCAGCACCAACGTGTTGATTTAACAACTGTGAGTGTAACAAAAACAAAAATCTCAACCAGCAGTAAGTACAACACCGACATCATCTCAAGCCCTTCATACAACACCGACATCATCTCAAGCCCTTCATACAACACCGACATCATCTCAAGCCCAACACCAACACCATCTCAAGCCCTTCATACAACACCGACATCATCTCAAGCCCTTCATACAACACCGACATCATCTCAAGCCCTTCATACAACACCGACATCATCTCAAGCCCTTCATACAACACCAACATCATCTCAAGCCCTTCATACAACACCAACATCATCTCAAGCCCTTCATACAACACCGACATCATCTCAAGCCCTTCATACAACACCGACATCATCTCAAGCCCAACACCGACACCATCTCAAGCCCTTCATACAACACCAACATCATCTCAAGCCCTTCATACAACACCGACATCATCTCAAGCCCAACACCGACACCATCTCAAGCCCTTCATACAACACCAACATCATCTCAAGCCCTTCATACAACACCAACATCATCTCAAGCCCTTCATACAACACCGACATCATCTCAAGCCCTTCATACAACACCGACATCATCTCAAGCCCAACACCGACACCATCTCAAGCCCTTCATACAACACCAACATCATCTCAAGCCCTTCATACAACACCGACATCATCTCAAGCCCAACACCGACACCATCTCAAGCCCTTCATACAACACCAACATCATCTCAAGCCCAACACCGACACCATCTCAAGCCCTTCATACAACACCAACATCATCTCAAGCCCAACACCGACACCATCTCAAGCCCTTCATACAACACCAACATCATCTCAAGCCCTTCATACAACACCGACATCATCTCAAGCCCAACACCGACACCATCTCAAGCCCTTCATACAACACCAACATCATCTCAAGCCCTTCATACAACACCAACATCATCTCAAGCCCTTCATACAACACCGACATCATCTCAAGCCCAACACCGACACCATCTCAAGCCCTTCATACAACACCAACATCATCTCAAGCCCTTCATACAACACCAACATCATCTCAAGCCCTTCATACAACACCGACATCATCTCAAGCCCTTCGTACAACACCGACATCATCTCAAGCCCAACACCGACACCATCTCAAGCCCTTCATACAACACCAACATCATCTCAAGCCCTTCATACAACACCGACATCATCTCAAGCCCAACACCGACACCATCTCAAGCCCTTCATACAACACCAACATCATCTCAAGCCCTTCATACAACACCGACATCATCTCAAGCCCAACACCGACACCATCTCAAGCCCTTCATACAACACCAACATCATCTCAAGCCCAACACCGACACCATCTCAAGCCCTTCATACAACACCAACATCATCTCAAGCCCAACACCGACACCATCTCAAGCCCTTCATACAACACCAACATCATCTCAAGCCCAACACCGACATCATCTCAAGCCCAACACCGACACCATCTCAAGCCCAACACTGACATCATCTCAAGCCCAACACCGACACCATCTCAAGCCCAACACTGACATCATCTCAAGCCCAACACCGACACCATCTCAAGCCCAACACTGACATCATCTCAAGCCCAACACCGACACCATCTCAAGCCCAACACTGACATCATCTCAAGCCCAACACCGACACCATCTCAAGCCCAACACTGACATCATCTCAAGCCCAACACCGACACCATCTCAAGCCCAACACTGACATCATCTCAAGCCCAACACCGACACCATCTCAAGCCCGACAATGCTGACATGAGGGTGAGTACTAAAAGTGCTCTCACAACGGCGAGTTTTTCTCCCCTCATTAGTCGACAACCTGCAGGTGCCAGAGCATGCTCGTTAAACCACGTGACCGCTTGCAGCTTCCCACATCCGTGGAGTGGCAAATTATCTCAATCAATACGTGATACACCCCCCCACCCCCACACACACATAGAGACAGACACATAAAACCATAAGCTAACAATATTATAAAGCATAATTATAACACATTTGAATTTTCATTCTTTTAAGTGTATATGTTGAAAATTCTGGGGCAAGGGGATGTTGCCCCCCA